AAGGACGTTCACGGCAATAAAAATCGGCGCACGCGGCGCAAAGAGAAAAGATTAAATTGTAAAATAATTCCTGTTTTGTCATACGATATTTGCGTTGAAAAAACATTACTATAATATGCAGATTGCGTTTGTCGTCGAATTTGCATTTGTCATTTTGGTAACACGCATTTCGAATCGCCATATATACAATTTCACATTAAAATAAAATCCAATAAAATAATAAATTAACAATTCGCCCCATATATGTACCTCGTATCATTTATATTATTCGATATATAAACGCGCGGGATTTTGTCATTGGCGTTACGAATATCCGACAGACTTATTTTTACTCATTGATCGCATTAACTATAATTCTTCGAATAATCGCTTCGCTTCGTTTAAACGTTTCTGATTAAACGACCGAACATCGAATCGCGTTACTTTATAACTCCTTCTTAATACTTGTGACTTTTGTAGATATCACATACGTTTCGGAAATAGGATACAATTGAATCCAGGATTAATCACCGTTTCGGATCTAATCTGGCGCCGTGCTGGCAGCGAATGAGGTTTCCGCCAGGATCAATCGAGGATAATAACTGGAAACTTGACTTGTACCGAATGACAATCATAAAGATGAACGAAGATAACAATGGTTAACAGATAAACGATATCTAGTATATTCGGAGAATAATATTTCTATGTGTATGTGTATGTGCTGCAAATTATGCTTTTAATTTAATACGAAATATAATATAGAAATCCATTCGTCTACAGTTTTGTATCAGAATAATAATAATATTCTTGTTCTTAATCCTGCTAACTTCATAACTCTGTAAATAATAGGTTTCTCAAGTGATGTTAATCAAGTGCGAGATCTGACAGAGCGGTAAGTAAAACTGCATAAATTACGAAAATGAAATATTTTACAAGTTATGTAACAAAATGAGAAAAATTATTATTGAAATAAAGATCTGAATGCACACGGCACATCCCGTGTCGTTGCCGTGACATTTTTAGTATTCTTAATAAAGAAGAGCCAAATTGCAGATAGACTTTCCGTCTAAAACGCAAAACTTTTATGTTTATTTTGATAGAGTCCAGCAATTAAACTTTCACCAAAGTTCGCTTAGAACATAATAAATTCGAAATAATTCAACCTTGTGCACAGAGGATTCGAGTGTTTAAGGAGTAAAATTTCTCCATCAAACGAAAACTTGAAGCGGATCGCGCGAACGAAGCGAGATAGCTTCAATGGTTTCCCTTTTACCCGTGCGGAAATGCAAACGACCGAACGCCGCGCGTAAAAATTAACGAGATGAAGAAATTTTATTGCTTTATTAACAAGCAAAGAATGTTTCGTCGCGCTGTTCTCGCTCTCTCGCGAGAGGAACTCACGCGCCCACGATGAGGGGGGGGAGGGAGAAGGGGGAATTACACCCGCGTATAATTACACCGATGTTGGCCACACAGCGTGAGACTCTTTTGCGCCACGTTTTTGTCAGACGTTTTTGTGATAAAACGACCAGAGAGCTGAAGAGAGAAGAACGGAGCACGGCGGGACGAGATTTCCACAGGCCACTTCGCGTGTGCCTGGAAGTTCGCGTGTAAAAATGGGTCATACACACATTTCGTTATGACGTATTGCTTAACGATCCGCCGCTTTGTCGCCGACATCGCATTCTACCCCCCATTCACCTAACTGGCAAGCACGGATTAATTAGCTAGAGAGACAAGATTAATTAATTATGGCGACCTCGACGAGTTCGACCTAGGAGCGTCCCGCTTTACTATCGCCGTGTTCGACATCGAGTCGAGCAAGGAGCTCGTTCTCATGACCAAAGACTCGAGTCTAATTAGACCTACACGTGTGTTAACTAATGTACAAACATAATAAAGTTTTGCTGTATTTATCTAATAACTTTGTGTACAGTAATAATTGTCATACGTTATGCCATTAACCACTTCATCATTTGCTTATTATACAGGTAGTTCTTACAGTTGATAATTCTTAAATCATTAATGCAAGATGCCGCAATATTTTTGTCATGTCGACAATACATGGTGTATTGTGTCGCATAACATAGAAATAAAGACATTTCACAGATAAGTACATTTGTGATGGCAGGATTACTGAATGTACAGCTCGTTTCCTCTCTTGGTGAGAGGCTAAAGTTAAGGACTTTCAGAATGATCTGTCGGCATGATAGCGCAAATTGGGTCTGCCTGTCCGCATGTAAGAGCCTCCTAAGGGAATGAAATTTGCCTGACATCGTACAACTATCTTTCAAGTTATTTCTGCCTGTTATAAAATATAGAAAATTAATCTTTCTCATTAAAACACGGCAAAATAATTAGTAAAATTTACGATAATTACATAGCAATTAAATTGTACTTATGTTTTATTAATTATCAAATATAATTAAACTGTTTCTATTAACGATTAACAAAAAGAATTATGCAAAGCATAAATTTAACGCAAAATTTACGCTAGATAAATCAAATATTTGTCTCAAGAGAAAATTAATAAATGACGAGCACGAGAGTTAGCATTATATCTAATAGAACATTGGAGCCCGATTTAAGCACGAAGTTTGGCGGTGAAGCGAAAACTAAAGACTCTCGGAAGGATCTGTCAGTCTGCTCGCGCGATAATGGAGCAGCGAAATTTCCTTTATACGCGCAGCTACCTTTCAGTAAATAATTCCGCCAAGTCGACTGTCAACGACAGACGCAAAGCGGATAATGATACTCCCGGAAACCAAATATCATTGATATTATGACATTTCGCATCGAGAATGCCTCAACCAGGAGGTTCAATCTTAGTTTGTGATGCACCTCAAATATTCCATATCCACTTTCACACAATAAACAAGAAGATCGGATGTCTCTGATGCTCCTATCTGTTGTGCAATGACAGATGTTAACATTACAAATAATACGAATGTCTGACATATTGTAGCTGTTTCTAAACCAATCCCTTAATGCATATTGAAATTTGACAAGGTTCTAAATATTCTGTGCTGCTTTTTAATAATTTCTTTTCTGATTTCCGAAATATATATTTTTTTTGAGCTTACGTCAACAGCTCTGCCAAATTAAAACCCGTGGAAATGTGAAATTTAAATAATTCCCTTTCCTCTTTATCACGGTTAACAATATTGCAGACGTTATCGGCAGGAAATAATCCGCCGAAAATAAACGGGAGGTTATTGCATGACAAATGCTTTTTATGATGTCAGAACACCTCAGTGGCCGCTATTTAAATCTACGCTTGAAAAACTACTCCTTTCCTGGTGTCGACAAGAATAATAAAAATGGTTGTGCGCGTGGAAACGCGCCAAAGTTTGTTCGATTCAATAGCAACCTCTCTGATGCGTTTATAACCCTCGAGAACGGCAAAAGCGTCGGGTAAAAAAATGTAACGGAATTAAACGGTAAAATGTTGGGAAGTACTAGAAGCTATACATAATTTTCATTAAAATTCTGATTCATATGACGTAATAATTGTCAGAACCGTAGCTGTACATGATGCAGATTTTAAATTCTCATTTGCATATTTTTACAACTTTACGTGAGCAATCCATCATTTTATTTGTAAATAATCCATCATTTTATTTGTAAACAGCCGATTATTTTTTTATCGTATAAAAATAATACAGTGCCAAATTTTCATCTCATCGCGCTTAATTAATGATAAAACAAGCCGTATGTAACTGAACAAACTGCAATGTATACCTTTCGCAGATTTCGTTGAGGAAAGATCTGACGGTAAAATGTCAAAAATGCGATTTGCTCGAGTTAAAAGTTAAGAGGATTATTCGTTAAACATCGCGTTCTTATAAAGTAATGCTCCATCGATCGGCGTCAGCTCGCGTTACATCTCCGGCTACGAAAATGCGCAGCTCGACGATGACCCTTCAGTTAGATATGTACGTCAGAAAATTTATACCCCAAATGCGTTTTTAAATTTCGGTTGGATTTACTGCTGTACTTTTACGCGAGTGCGGTATTTACAAACGTGTACTCCTGTAATCAGCTGTTTCGGGTTAGAATTCTCTATATTCTGAATTCTATATGCGGTATGTTATTTTTAAAGAGAAAAATTTTTATGCTGAATAACGACGATGACGAGCAAACTGGCAACTGGTCGATCTAATATTTAAATTAGAAGCGATCAATTCAAACACACGTACAATATAGAGTATTTCGCGCTAATGACTTCACAATCCAGGATACATAAGCCGAATAATAATCTTCAACTTTAAGCGAAATTACCAGGCATTCTACATATCTACAGAACTATCCGATATCAGGCCAAATTTCCAGCTCTGCTAGAACGCAAATTGCTCTGTGCATGTCGAATCCATTAAACAGAATGAAATTTTATCAGAGTCCCATCCGGACATTCTTGTTTTTTCGTTTCATGTAAATATGTATAATTACGTATTGATTATTCTGCTATTAAACAGAATTACATCATTCAAAACAAAAGAATATATTATTAATTATTTTACTCGTCAAATTATTTTTCTCCTAATTGGTTTCTCTTTTAAAGATATAAATTTTTAAGAAAGGTTTGAAGAAGAAAAATTTACAGTCAAGTTTACATAAAAGAAGAATAGAATAAACCGCAAATAACACAAGCATGTATCTACCAAAGTTTTTTAATAGAAAAATATACTGTTTTACACAGAAGAAACATTTTCCTGTACTATTTAAAAATTTAATATGATGCAGAATAACTCTGTTAAACCATTAAATTAATTGTGCAACATATTTAAATATAAATTATACATCATATCACAACCAATTTGAACGTCCCGCATAAATATTTTTAATGGCCCAATAAAATTATATATATTCAGACTTTTTTGCGTGCATCTGACAGCAATTTTTAGACTTTTATATTTCTTCCGTGATAGCAACAAAGTTGTTAGTAATGCGTACATCTACTCAAACATATATGATTCAATTGCGTCAAAAAATTGTGACACACACACACGACGATCTCGTACCTGATGTTAAGCCCCCCCCGCGTGCGTCCGATCGCCGATTGAGTGGTCACGGTGGCGGGAACGCTATCCTGGATCCTTCCAGGGTGCCGCTGAGCCCCTAAATCTCCAAAGTCTTAGAAACACACGCGGTCGGCTCCGATGGAAACGGTGTGCCGGGGCGAGGGGAGGAGGGAAGCGTTCGCACGCGCGCGAACGCCGCGAACGACGATCTCGTTCGCGTTGGCAATCGGCAAAAGAGGAAAACGGCAGGAGAGAAGAAGAGAAAGAGGAGAAAGAGGAGGACAGGGAAGAAAGGGAAGAGTCAACAGCGAACAGCCGAGATCTTGGAGGAACTTGGAGCGAGCTCTCTGTCGTCGCGAGGGAGTCGCGGCACGATACTGACGAGTCGTCCGTGGGGCGCACGGACCTCATGCCGCCAGGATCTCCATCCCCACCGACCCACCGGCACGGCGCGGCGCCGATATTCAGGGCCGGTGGGTTGATCAAACGATGGATGGTTGCGATTCCAGGACGATCTACCGTCGACGATCCGCCGTCTCCCACGCGGGGAGGGCTTTAACCGACCGCATATCCGATATTCGGTACGCACGCGGGCTAACGCGTGAACACAAGCTATCGTCACGAACGGAACGTCGTATCCTCCGGGAACCACCAGTCTCCATAGCCCCTAAGTTTCCCGAGGGAGCTAAGGGAGTAATTATGATTATTGTCTGAGAAATTTTCGATATATCCCCGAAAGTCCGATAATTTATATGTCTCGTTAAAATGACAAGATTCCTCTCTCAAAAAAAAACCTCTTTTTTGCGAAATAATCTCGTTGTTATGTCATACGTTTCCTTTTTTAGATTTTCCTTCTTTAACAGTCCGGTTAAACAGTCATGTAAATAAATATAAACGAGGTGACAATTAACAATTGCGTGATTGTGACGAAAAAAATTAGATAATCTTTGGAATTAAACAGAGAAAGCTATATATGTCTTGTCCAAAAGACGGTTGTCGTTTTATTATTTAAACTTGAGTATGTTTGAAAAAGATCACTTTCAAATTTTCACACACTTAATCACTTAATCTATGTTACTTATATATAAGATAATTATATAAGATAAACGAATAACTCATTAACTATATAATTATCTAATTGCAAAATTAAAATTGTAATAGAAATGAATAATTAAGGAAATGTCATGCAGAACTATTAATTATACCTATATCAAGTATAATTAGCGTCGTCGTGATATTTTCAAATAATGCATTATAAATTAATTTTAGTTCATTAAAGAAATTAATTATACGTGAATTTTTTAAGTAATTTTAATGTCCCATGATTAAAGCAGCTATCGATATTCTCGTAAGAATGACATTTTAAATTTAAATTGGTTAGCAAACTTTCTACGTTTTACTACAATTTCAATTATAAAGAAACATTAATTTACAAAAGCAATAACGCTAAGACCACACATTTGTTGGTTGCATTCGCTAAGATTCCATTGTTTCATATTTTGAATTGTTTTCATTTAAAACCATGTACTCGTTTCGTTTCTAAAACTACTGTCTGACTTCTGCAAATTTAACGCCAAATATTTAAGCGCGAGGTATATGTCTGTTTTTTCGTTAAAATTAAAATACTGTTGTAATAGTTGTTCTTAGTACAACTATCGTTACGATACCTCTACCGCCTTTCTGCGGCTACCTATAACGTTCCATTCAGGACGCGCGTTCTATTGCTATGAACTTTCGATGTCACGACTCTCTGATTCTTATCTAAGTCTTCACCAGGATTGTGTCGTTTTATTACGTATCGTCATTATTACGTATACAAGAAGGTTCAAACTTAATTTGCTCATTTCCAAATCGCATTATTGGCTACAGTAATAGAAATGGCGATTACGCGATTCGTAAGTAAAAATTCTAAATCACATAGGAGTAAGTAAATTGAGTATCATTAAACTTTGGAGAGTTTAGTGTTTTTTCGTGCGCGTAAAATTTAAAAATGAGAAATGCGAAATGCGAAATAATAGCATAGCGACCGATTTGACTATCAAATAAGCATAAGATTGGGAAAGAGAAATATACTTGAGATGAACGGAAGAAGAAAAACGAAATCTTTATTCTTTTTAATCTTCATCCTTCTTTTTGTGATTGAAAGGCTAGATTTGTCAATTTGGTCTTTGCTTTCTCCTTTTTTTTCTTATTATTCACGGATATATTTAACTTTATTAATCGCTAAAAAATTTTTTCGTTTTCTCATATCAATGGCTGACATTATGATGTATTATAAAATAAAGTAAAATCCTCATGAAAGAGCATGGAAAAGTCGCGTGAAATTTCATCATCTCCAAATTCATTAGATACGACGTTTCTAAAGACTGATGCAAATCTTACGAAACAATTTATATATACAATCTCGAGCGCACCGGATACTTTCTCTCGACTCTCGGCAAGTAATGTAGGCCGATAGATAAAAAGCCTACTTGTTTCAATGTCAAAGGCGTGGACAGATCTCAACGAAAAGATATCGAGGGTCGCAAATTGAAAATTAAAAAAGATCGGTTAATTAAAATTAAAATAGACAAGCTGTGCTTTCCCATTTACCATATCGTTTCTCTTTCTTTTCTCTACCTCGCCGTAACGGAGCCGGATTTTAAGTCGTCGTTCAATTTCATCGGGCTGAATATCAGGAATTTCGAAAAGAAAAGAAAGGCGGATCTAAATCGGATCTTTTCTCGCCGGGAAAAGATCGTCTTCACAGATACACTGGAGGATAATAGCGGAAGCGCGGCGGAGCGCCTCGAGGCGATGCGATGTATCATCACGGTTACCGGACGGTTCCGCGGAACGTTTTACGAATCGCCGTGAGGGTCACGACGTGTGCCATAACGTAAAGCCAGAACCGTAAAAGTAACCGCAGCCGCGGCCGCGGAGCGCAACTTTCGATCGTTTCTTCGTGATGCGACGTACCGATAGCACCGTAGTAAGCACTACCTGGTGAATGACACGATCTCCCACGCCTCTCTATTCGTCTTCTCTTCGGCTATGCGCGAGGCGGAGAGGAAGTCTCTCCTATCGCGGCGAAGAGAGAGGCTAACTCGCGGGCTCATCCTTTTACCGCGACGAACGCGTCGCGCCAGTAAACTCACTTTCATCTGTGATATTAGCCGAGCCAAGGCGAGCGAAGGCGCAACACTCGCGATTCGCCTTTCGATTCGCGCGAGCACGATCGTCTGCCTGCGAGCATCTATAAATCCGTCCCCGCACGGATGATTAATCCGAGAGGGGGTGTTCGACGCCGACGCGAATCGGCGGAAAAGAAATGCTAGAATGCTATATCTTCCGAGCGCCAAGCAAAACGTTGTCGAGATTTTGTACGAGATTATAATATATAAGATTGTAATTTATAAGAAATAAAATTCCGTAATCTACTACAATGTGGAGACAAAGATATTTTTTGCAAAACGGAAGATTTAACAAATAATTACGGATGCCCTTCCTTTTTGCAAAAAGTTTCCAATTTTACGCTTTGTGTTAATTTTTTTTTGAAATTAGAAAAAAGAAATATGTTAATTAATTAATATAAAACTTTATTTGATATTACTTATCGGATTTGTATGTTCAATCCTGCAATCCTCAATAGTAGTATTAAAGATATATTTTTCCCTTTTTTAATACGTGCCGTTTAACGATGATGCGATTACAATCTGCGAACGCGACAGTGACGAGAACATGAAAGCCAGTGTTTGCCGTAATCCTATATTGTCCTGTTTGCCTGTAATATATTGTATATGCAAACGAAACGACGCTGCTGCTGCGCACCATTGTCTCCCGATTCACTTCTTCGTGCCAGTAATAATAGCGGCACGTGTTGTTGAGAAAAAAAAAAAAAAAAGAAGAAAAATACATCCCTTGCGAAAAAGTCAAATTACAGTCGAGGTACCAGCGCGGCTCATGGCGAACACTTTTCTTGAATAACGTATGCGCGAACGTGGTTACACTGCGATGTAACGCAACGAAGCCAAGCGGTACTTAAGAGGCGTTGAAGTATGAGAAAGGATATTTTTAAACGTGCATTCGCGTACCTCAAGGGAACCAGGAAAAGCATGAAAGTTTCGAATGCGAAGCTGAATTAACGGGTGCGTTATCTTTTTGACACAATCTACTGGTTAGGACTCAGACACAATAAATGGGAATAAGGAATTAAATATAAAAAAAAAAAATGAAGAACAGGAAATTACTTTCGACTAATAAAAGAACAATTTGATGACTCCATGATTGCGTATTGAAACATGGTTTCCCATATATACCGAAATTTAATTTTCTACTCCTAATTTTCTATGTTTGATTCCTTGTCTTTTATTTCTTTCATTATATCCAAGCTTTTACTTTCTCAACGTTGCTGTTTTAATATGAGGCATTCTTATGGCAACGAAAGGAATTCTCTAATACCTCAAAGTAACATAATTGATAACTAAACTAAAAAATGTCCAATTAAATTAAAATTTCTTTCAGATTAATTGATAAAAGCTTCATAATAAATTCGATAATGATATTATATTTCATTTTCCTATATTTTAATTAAATATTATCTTAAATCATATATTACACATATAATTCAATATTACAATATTGCAATATTGTATAATTTAATATCACAATATTCAATATTACAAATTTTATTAAATATTCTCTTAGATAATTAAAAAGATAATCTCGTTTATATTACTGAAATTAATTCATATTTAATAAAAATTTGCTATTAATAATTATAAATCTAAAAAGTTAATGTAAAATATTTCTTCTTTTATCACTATATAAAGATATAATTATTATTTATATCTCATTGATATTATTGGTATTAATGAGAAAAGAAATTATTTAAAATACATTTTTAATTTTACAAAAAAGTTTATAAACTGCTTGATTATTTGCGATGAATATCTTACATTGCATTAATTTACCAGAACATTCAATTCCATTTTGGAAAATTAGCGGCGTGTCTCAACTTCGCGACCATAGAATCGAGAATTATTCATCACGCGCTATAAATTATAGCCGACAGTTTGTTGACGTCGCGTCAGCAAGCCTGAGGACTTACTTTCTTCCCCTGTCATGATGCAAACTAATTGTTCGGTCGTTGTCCTCCCGCTTCTTTGCCTTTTCGTTACGCCCAGCTGACCATCTGATATTTCAATAAGCGAATTTGCTAATTCGCAGAAGCTTAATTAATCGCAGGAGGAAGTATCGATGCCAAGTATGATCAAAGGGTTGCAACGAGATCGCATATTTCTCTTTCATATTTATAACGAAACGAGATTTGCGGAAAAATTCAAAATCGATATTTATTTAAAAGGCAAAGAATTTTAATATGAAATGC